CAAATTATATCTTATTCTCTGTAATGAATGAAATAAAAATAAAAGTTATAATTCATTATTAAAAGTGTTGTGTATTTATTTCACTCAAAATTCAATATTAGTGTAATAAAAGCAATTGAAAAATAATTAATAAAAGTTTAGTGATTCTGAAACAATTGTAAAATCGATTAATGGTTTAATTTTTGTAAATTGATTTAAAAGTATAAAAATTCTTTACTCAATGATTGCTATAATTTGTATAAAATATAAATACCTTAAATACTCTATATATTAAATTGAATTAAAAACGGGTTAAATAATTAAACAACTATTAAAATAAAGGCTTCAAATCGTTGTTAGTTTCGGTCTCTTTGATAGACATGAGTGAAGATCGGATGGGAGTGAGTGGACCGGTGTTTGCGAGAGACGATCGGCGTTTACGTCGACGGCTGGGCGACCACTTCGTGTTTGTGCCTAAATATGGGCAAAATTATGTCATCAATACGAACACCATATCTACCATAAATCAGATCCGTGTAAATATTTACCACAAGTACTGTATGTAAACTCGGCTTCCGTTAATAGTTTTCGATACTCTTCCTCCGGAATGGCAAAGAAAGCCTCCATTAGTTTGATTTGAACCTTATTTCGGGACACCATCTCAACCGACGGGACGGTGGCGTCCGGATGGCCCACAACTGTCGGCGCAAACACTTTGGCCAACGCTTTGGCGTTCATCAGATTCTTATGGGACTCTTTGACCACACGGTGTAAGTGACACATGAGATACGCCAAACTGTCACAATTGGCGGCCGGCATCTCATCCATTGTGGTCAGCATTAAGTCAGTCATTTCAGGCTTGGTTTTCTGGTCTGCAAAACGGCAAACAATTTTAGACAATCGTTTCATTAATAAAAAACATATCCAAAGACCTGAAGCGCGGATGAAATCCCTCCACAAGACTTTAGTGATGAGCGGTTCGTCCAATTGTTGCAAAAATTGTTTGACAACATTCGCCAGAAGGTGAATGTCGTACGACTCCAACAATTGGGTTCTGGTCTTCGGGTTAACCAGTTTTCGGGTCAACTCTTTGACCGCCACTTCGGCGCCCGCTTTCCGATAAATGCCCTCTTCGTGAAGACCGCGGCTCTCGATCTCTTTGAATATGTGGACCAGAATTGAGGGAACCATTGGTCGGATGTCGGGCGCGAAGTCGGCGATCAGTGACATGTGTCGCGTAGAGCTGCCCGTCAGGTGTTTGCTTGAGGTCTGCTTACGGAATGGTATGCACGGTATGGGCAGCCGATCCTTGCACTGACTGTGAGCCAACCCGAGACACACTTCACAGCACACATAATGGGACAAAAAAGTGATCCCTTTGTTACAGACCCGGCATTTAGTGGAAGTGAGCGCCCGTTTGGTCTGAAAAGTGTGCGCCTTAACAGCGAATCCAGTCTTAAGGGAAACCGTTGAGAGGAATTGTTGCGATGTCAGCGCTGCCGATGACGGCCTCTTCAGTGCCGGAGTACTCATCAAATACCGGATATCAATGTTTTCTTTGCCGACATCGATGGCGTCCGAAACCGATTTAATGGTCTTTCGATTATCTGTTGGATCGGCTTTTGTGAGACTCGTATCGCTTTTACTTCGCCGAAGACTTGTGTCAGACTTTTCGCTACTGATGGACACGACATCCATAGAAGTTGGTCTAAAAAATTTCAAAATCAATTAACACATCATTTCTTAATAGCATTTCGCATACATTTGTGTGGTTTCAGCGGTATTTGGGGCCAAACTCTTGCGGATCAGCGTATGTTTGGTGGACTCGTCGACGATATCATCTCCGCTCTTATCGTAAAGCAGGTCTTCGAACGAGTTATCGGATTCGTGTTCTTCGAGTACAGTGTCCAGAGGTATGTACGACAGGAGCCGGTCTCTGGTCTCTTCGGGACTGCTGTCCGTCTCATTCAACACAAAGTCTTTAATTGCAGTCAACTGTTTCATCAGTAGATTTGATTGCTTTCGGTGGAAATCCTTTTCCTTCAGCTCTTTGGCAAAACCAAGTCTAAGCCGTTTCAGTGATTCCTCCAATTTATTTCTCTCTTCAGTCATATCCGTTACCTTCTGTTGCGTTAAAATCAACTCAGCTCTGGTCTCAAGCCATAGACACCGAACGCTCTCGAAGTTGACCACCAGTTGTGCAAACCCTTGTAAATCACAAGACATTTACAATGAATACACTTAACGCTATAATTTTGTAACTGTTTTGTAGTGTCATATCTCTTGTACTCACTCTCATCGTCAGTGGTGTCCACCAATGCATTGCCGGACCGACACATGTCGTCAAACATAGCGGTGACAGACAGTTGCGGCGCCGCCGCTGCGGCCGAAGTGCGGACATTGGTCTTGTTGGTCATTGTCGTTGCGGAGGATTGTGGCCAACAAACGAGACAATCACTATAACTCGGTTAACTCGATGAAAAATTAAGACAATTATAACCAAAAAAAAACAAATTCACAACTTTTTGATGTGTGTTTCAAACCTACTATTCAAGTGATAGCACTCTATTGGCATCAATTTTGAGCCCAGAGTCGACAGTGATTGGGATTTTTATACAACTGTCCTCTCTATCAGTGATTTTCACTTTTAATTTCATTTAAAGTTTAAAGATTTTTCATAAACTATGTGTTTTAAATGCCATTCAATAACATGTGTGTGACTATTGACTGATTTATCACACATACTGTACTACAGCACTGTATAGTAATATACATTTATTATATACCTTACAACTTATAACTACAGTATTATTCCGTAAATCAGTGAACAGTTATACACATTGTTTGTAAATTTTCCACAACATTTTGAAAAGCATTGAATTTTGAAAGATTGTATTAAAAGTTTTATTCATTTTACCAGAAAAATACAAATTATTCATTTTTTTAGGTTTGTGTAAATTATCTGAATATAAAAACGATTACAGTAATGTGAGAGAAGTACAATGATGAATTAAAATATAACGTTTATAATATGTATATTTAAATAACCAGCACACGTAAATTAAATATTAATTTATTCCCAGGTAATATTTATGATAATTACTATATTAAAAATATAAGAGTTAAGGCATTATAAATATAAAAAATTAAAATATAGTGTACATTAATAAAATATTAAAAGTTATATACAAGTAATTTATATTTAATCATCATTTTGATAAAGATTTAATGTTAAATTTTTAGGTATTTTATCCGCAAATTCTGTTAAATCCAATGCATTAATGAAATTATTTTCTGTGCCATCAAAAGCAAGACCGCTATAGAAGTGAAATTCAGTCTTTGACTTATTATTGGCACAATTGATGAGACATTGAATAGTTGTGGCCGTAATCATAGGTCGGGAACAGAAGTATATTTTGGGACATATTTTAATTAATTCACAAATACTTTCATCAGTTATTAAATTGTGATTTTTCGTAAAACTTCTCAAATTAAATTTTCGTAGTTTTTTAAGTCGACAAAACTCTAGAATAGATTTATCAGTAAATTCTGATTCACAACAAATGTTTAATTGCCGTAAATTTGGTAAAATTGTGTCAATGTTTTCAAAGAATAATTGCGGCAATAAATGATTTCTAATGATTAGGGATTTAAGATTTTTGCTTTTTCTCAAGCACTTAACGCTACCGTATAATAGTCTAATTGATTCAGTAATCCCTATATCTATATCTAAACTAAATTTAACCAGATTGGCAAACCCTTGGAACGAATAAGCTAGATCAAATAATGAGTTGAAACTTTCCGCAAAACACGTTATATCGAGAACTTTCATTTGCGAACAATTTATCGACAAATGAATTAGATATTCATTTATCCAATCAATTTTTTCACTATATTTCCCTAAATAAATTTGCAATTTGTTTAATTGTGTAAATAATAACAAACTATTCATACAGTTTTTGATTTCACTATCATTCAGATCGTCCCTAAAATCTATGGCAAGTTTTTTCAAACAATTCCCGTATTTATCACACATTGAGGTAAATATCGGTATATTTTCTTGAGTTATGCGAATAAAGTCAATGGTTTCGAGTGAAGGAAAGTATACCTTGTCTTCAAGTTTCAAAACATTATATTCGGGTGAAATTAATACACAAATATTCTTACAGTGAATAATGAATTCATGCAAATATGCGGTTAAAAAGTGATCGTAATATAGTGTGACTTTTTGGTACAAATGCCCGTATTTTTGACCAAATTCTGACAATTCTTTAGCCGAGAGACACATTATGTTGAATACAATATCCGTCACATTTGGGCAGTATTTGCCAAATAAATGTAAATCAATTGAATCGACAAAACACTCGAGTTCTAGACTTTGTAATGAATGGCATTTCAATAACAATGTCTTCAGAGATCGCTTATCAATGCGTTTATATCCGCTTTCATTACACTTTCCGGTCATATAATCGGTGATCAGTTTTGGTCTTAAAAGCTTTTCCAATACATTCTTGTCTTCAGGCATCCAATCACTTAATACAAGTTTGTATTGTTTTGTGAAAATAAATTTCTGGACGCGTTTTGAAAGGCATTCAAACAATATTTTCTCATTGAATGTTAGAAACGATAATATATTTTCAAACAACTGGTCGTCGAAACGGTTAAATGAATTTCTTGTTATAACTCTTTCAACACTCAATTTAATCAATGCGCCAGCATTTGTGACCATGATTTTGTAATAATTGTAACAATTATATCAAATTAGTTGTAGTTATTATAACTGTTATAACAGTAAAGTACTGTATGTAACAATTGTGTGAAGAAATATGTAAAATGTTATTACAATTGTGTTAACTAACAAATGAACACAAGTTAAGGGTTATTAAATTAATAACTTATTAATAATGAAATATATTTTTAATGTTTTATTCTATAAAACGCTGACAAAACGATTTATTAAAGTAAATAGTGTCACAATTGATAGAAATTTTGATAAGAAATATAGTAACTAAGTTATTACACATTATAATGTAATTCTTTGTATGTAATAATAATTATGTAATTACGTAATAGTGATACAGTGCAACTTCTCTTGGGTAAACTTCTCTTGGGTGAACACCTCCTCATAATGAACGGTTTTGAAATCTATGTTGGATTTCCTATACTTATAATGTTAAAATAACCTCCCTTAGATAAACTTCTCCATAATGAATACCTCCCCATTATGAACGGATTTATAGAGATTAAGATAAAATTTCCACTCC